TATTAATAATAATGATAATAATCGAATGAAAACCTATCACAACTGAACTGGAAAAAGAGTAACAATGTGAATACAATGAGAACTGGGTGTGAAGAGAAAGATGTGAACACTTTTGCAGTGTCTGCAATAAATAGAGTAATGTGTTCACACTGAAAATTCCAACAAGAAAGTACATTTCAAATGATGCACTTTGTAGAAGTGGAATGTTGGACACTTCATGCACTTAACTGTCACAGCTTCCCTTAAGCGTTGATACACTATACACGAATCCGACGAGCGTTCTGTGTAGGCTGCCATCTTGTGGCGACGCCATTACTGAGCTGTTACCGGTATGTAAACAAACCTCCGAGATAACGCACCCTCGATGACAGCTACAGCCAGGCAGAATGACTTGTTGGGTTGATGATGTTAGACACTGGCCTCCAGTCACAGATGAAGGTACAAACGATCTTACAGATTATTTATGAAAATAGCTTGGCAAGCTAGCTAGGCTAACGTTGGCTAACGAGGAAACTATAAAAAGATCTGTCCATTTGGCAACAATAAATAAATGAATGACATCAAATAAACGAATTCATGTTTTTCATTTGTGTCCATTATTTATCTCATTTTCACATTGCAAAAGGCAAGGGTAAGGTACAGCTAGAAAGTATACATAATATCGACCAATTAGTGTTTTTAAACCATGGAAAGAGGTCAATATAACAGCAGGAGAACAATTATGTCACATAATGTTACATTTAGCTCAGGAAAGCCATTTAATGACCATAGCATGTTAATTGAATAGAAAAAATAGCTAGAGAGGAGATTTTACTGAGCACTATATTACATATTTATTATATATTTTTTTACTTATGTCATTAAATAATTGTTATTATAACAAAAACTGCATTATATTTAATTTAATTTGTTATTTTAATTTGTTATTTAAAAAAAAGTTCTGTCACAGTCAAGCAAATCAAACATTAACAACAGACATAACAGTAATGTTACTAACGTTACTGCCCCAATGCGCCCTTTACTGCCGCCATTGAAACAATTTAAACCGGAACATGTTTTCCCACTCGACATTATAAAAGTTGTAACGTTAGTGACAGTCGTAAATCGCGGGCTGTTTATTCCAGTGGGCGCAAGTTGCAAATAAAACAATAGGAGGCAATGGCGCAACGCTACCCAGCAACAGCTCAGTTATGACGCCCGCTTACTTCCGGTAGTTTCGCCGGATTCGTCTATAGAGTGCGTTGTATAAGCGCATATTGTATAGTGGATAATTTGGGACATACCTTAAATCTTTGCAGCAAGCATTGGGACAACTTAATTTTGGAGATAAAGGGTATCGCTTGCTAGTTTGTAGTTCTTACATGCCCTATTTAAAAAGAGAGCTGTTGTTTCAGTGTGATTTTATGATTTTGTCAAGTCAGGTCAAGTCACCTTTATTTATATAGAGCTTTATACAGTACAGTTTGTTTCAATGCAGCTTTACAGTGACAACAGGAAAATGATGCATTTCGGCTGTTGTTCAGCTGAAGGCAGTTCAGTGTTGATTTAGTTCTGTCGTAAAGATTGTAAAGATCAATTATTCAATTAGTTAATTTCATAAAGCAGTTCTGCAAAAAAATATGTCATCGACCAGCTCAGTTCAGTTTTCATACAACAATGTCAGTACAGCTAAGTCAGTGCAGTCGAACTAAGGAAGCCAGAGGTGACAGTGGCTAAGTAACCCAAAATCCATCAGGTGACAGAATGGAGAAAAAACCCCTGAGAGAAACCAGGTTCGGTCAGGGAGAAGGTTCTCCTCTGGTCAACAAACAAAAACAGTGTGATTATGATTCAGGCTGCATTACAAGTCAGCTCCTGATCGGTAGCATTCAAATATCCATCCAGATCCTTTTGTTGGAAGATCTGTTTCATCACGCCGGAATGGAGCCGAAGCTGGTCATAGGGTCTGTGCGTGGGACCTGTCTGGTTCTTGTGGTCTTTGCTGAGGATCTGTGCCGATGGCTGTCATGTCGACGAGGGTTTCACAGGGGATTGTCTAGACATGGTCTCTGCTGACATTCAGGGCTGGGGTTTGGTCGTGTCTAGGTGCAGATCCACCATCTGATCTGAATATGGACCGGATCGGGCAGACTACGTTAACCTCAGGATAAGGATGAGACCGACAGACTAATATTAGTGTAGATACCATTCTTCTTAGGATTTGAATAATAGAAATTGGTAATGTGTTATGTGTTATGTGTATGCCAGGTTAAAGAGATGTGTTTTTAGTCTAGATTTAAACTGACAGAGTGTGTCTGCTTCCCAAACAAGGTTAGGAAGACTAGACCAGAGTTTGGGTTAAAAAAAGAAAGAAAAAGGATCTACCGCCTGCAGTTGATTTTGATATAGGTATTATCCACTGGTCAGAATTTGCAATAGATTATAATGCAAAAGGACTATAATGCATTAAAAGCTTGCTCAAGTACTGATGAGTTAAACCATTTAGTGCTTTGTAAGTAATTAGCAAAATTGTCAAATTTATGCTTTTATGCTAATGTTGAATAGGGAGCCAATGCAGTTTTGACAGAACCGGGCTAATATGGTCATTCTTCCTGATTCTAAGAACTCTAGCTGCTGCGTTTTGGACCAGCTGGATATTTTTTTTCTTTCTTTTTTTTTAAGCGTGCAGGGAAACCACCCAGTAGAGCATTAGAAAAGTTGAGGTCATGAACTAACCTTTCTGCATTGGTCATTGAGAGCAAATGTTATAATTTAGAAGATGGAAAAATTTGGTTTTACAGATGCTAGAAATGTGGCTTTCAAATGAAAGATTGCTATCAAAGAGCACACCCAGGTTAACTGATGACAAAGAATTGACACAACAGCCGTCAAGTGTTAGACAGTATTCTAGGTTATTACGTGTGGATGTTTTTGGTCCAATAATTAGATCCTCTGTTTTCTTTTCTTTTTTCAGAATAAAGCGATAGAAAATTACTAGTCATCAAATTTTTGATATCAACTATGCATTCCGTTAATTTTGTGAATAGGTCATCAGGGCGCAAAGAAATATAGAGATGAGTATCATCAGCGCAACAGTGAAAACAAATGCCATGCTTCCTAATTATATCTCCCAAGGGTAGCATGTACAGGGTAAAAAGCAACGGTTTGTGGTCGATATGACATCTTTTCATTTAATGCTACAAATTGATAACGCTCATATAAGTATAATATAAACCATGCCCATGCAATTCCACTAATGTCAACATTTTCAAGTCTATTCAAAAGAATGTTGTGGTCGATAGTATCAAATGCAGCACTAAGATAGAGAGATAATAGGGAGATATAACCATGATCGTACCAATTTTGGTTCTTTTAGTCTTGATATCAAAGCAGGAGTGATATGAAATCCTTAGTGTTTATCATATCACAATTCAAATACCAGTTGCAGTTTTTGTAAACAATACAATTGTTTGACCAAATAGTGTAAATCTAGACATTGGTTGCGCTTACTGATACAGAGAAAACACATCTGTTTCCCCACTTGCTTTGCTCCAGTTCTATTTACTTTTGTTGTATTGGCTCTGCCCCTCAGAGGACCTCTTGGCTTCCTGGTTTTGAAGGCTATAGTTATTTTTTTGGAAGTAGAAAATATTATTCAGACAGCAGTACTATTGTTGGCTGTCATTCAGCAGGTTTCCATAATATGTAGTGGCAAATATATCATATTAGCTGGACCTTTATTTACTTAATAATAGGTGAGTGACAAAACTCATAGTAAGGAAGTATAATCAGGACATTGTTTGTTTTTCTGTTGAGTGTGTCTATTTTGTGGTTAAGCGATAGTTCTGGTCAAGTCAAGTCACCTTTATTTATATAGCTCTTTTTATAATACAGATTGTATCAAAACAGCTTCACAGTGATAACATGAAAACAATACAACAAAGTTTGTTTCTAGAAGAAAATTGTGTCATCGTCCACCTTAAGTAAGGCAGATCGATAATATAGTTGAATATTAAATGTCCCCAACTAAGCAAACTAAAAGCCAAGGCAACAGTGGCAAGGAACCAAAACTCCATCAGGTGACAGAATGGAGAAAAAAACCTTGGGAGAACCCAGGTTCAGTCGGGGGCCAGTTCTCATCTGGCCAACGAGCGAACAGTGTATGATTATGATCCAGGCAGCATTACAGGTCAGAAGACATGCTGGTGAGTATTTACAAGTAAAATCTAGGAGTCACCTCCACCAAAACAACTGCATGCAGAAGGTTTGGTGGTGAATTTATTCGACACAACCACAACATTATTCAGCAAGGTTACATGGAAATGGTGCCTCTAAACCCTGATTCAGAATTCTGACTCTAATTGGTTGTTTTCGAACCCTTGACAAAGAGTATGAAGCTAACAACAACTGCCTGAATAAATTCAAGCCCAAACATCCCAAACATAATTCTTTGTCACCGCAGTAAGGTAAAACACAGTATGAATACATTTATGGTAATGCTTTGTACCCTAACACACACTACAGTCCAGCACACCACCGACGTTAGCAATGAACATGCTACTAATCATGCTGATTAATCGTCCTGGGGATTCTGCATATTGATTTCGCACGTGGTCTTGGTTTCACTCTCCCCATGGTACGTCCTGCTAATGCTGAACTGGCCAGTTAAAGGAAGCGACCTAAACAATGATTACTATTATTCATCAGTCTGATGACTTCATGCCTGCAGAAAATGCTGCGTAGGAAGGGCTTTGTGGCAATTTTATCCCTCATAGTCAGCCCGGCAGGAACATCAAGTAGAAAATTAAATGCATTCCCAATTCCCATGGCTGCATGCTGAAACTCACACACACACACACAAATGGAGGGTGAGGGGCTGTCCTAAAATAAAAACCCCAGACATCAACCCCCTAACTTCCCCCATGTGTCTCCTAGTGCTATATCTGGCCACAAACCAGGGGGCAGTTACTCAGGCAAACGGTAGCAGAGACTCAGTCGCTGTTCTCCGTGGTTCTGCTGCAGATACCAGACTAAGAGTCCAGGAAATTCCTGCAGACTCTGAGGCAGGGATTTTGGCTTGCGCGTCCACTATTGGAAAAGCTGACAGTGTCGGAAGGGGGGATTGTAACTGCCTGAAGTCGGAAAAAAAGAAAGACAGAGGCAGAGAAAATAGGCCTCATGCCATCTTTAAGTGGTGTCTCAGTCTACTTTTATCCGCCTGTCACACCCTGTGTGCACTAGCTTGGACTTCAGATTGAGAGCCATGGTCAGGATGGTAAGTTTTAAACTCATTGTTTCTGACTTTGTGCTTTGTGCGAGGAAACGCATGTGACATCCTGGCAGCAGAAAGACAGGGTTGGGCTTAATGTGAACTGCTACTTCATTTTTTAGGAAGTTTTCTGTCTGCGCTGGAGCAGTTGGGGTTGCTGCGTTATTTTTGTCTCTTTCTCTGTCTCTCTTCCTTTCAGTCCCATTGTATTGGAATATTCTGGCAGTGTGTTGGGCTCTCCAAATAGAAGTTCTGTATTAATTGGAAGCCAAAAAGTTTGTGTCCTGACTGTAGACAAAGAGTTTTCCCGCTTCTCTCTTTTTCTCCTGTCCAGATGCTACCGCTGCTCTATTTCCCCATCTCACTGCCTCCACACATTTGGTTTCAATTACTCTCGCCCTCTGGGAAACATGCTACTATAAATAAGTAACAACGGGGTTCGCTGTGGAAAGATTGCAGAGATATCGACAGGGTTCGCGGTGCTGTTTTACGCTCACTCTCCTCTGACGAAAGGACACTGTTAGAAAGGTGATTGTTGTGATTCTCTGTGAGGATGCCATGTTGGGAGTGGGAATGGCAGATAAGTAGGAAAAAAGGGGGCAGGACTTTGGCTGGAGAGTGAAGGAAACAGCTGTGAAGGTTATGGGACGTTTGGTTACAGTTTGCCCTTTAGTGTCCGAGTCAAAAACAGGCCTCTGAGAATTTGAACCAGCCTGAGATTAGCCTATAGAAGCTTTTTAAGATTCCACTAAGGTTTGTGGTAGAGAAACGAGCAGAATGTGGAAGCCTGGTAAGGGAAATGAAAAGATCCTGCTGTAGATTTTGTTTTGAACTGTCGCAGCCATGCAACTAAACACTGTGTAACTAAAGATTCTTAATGGTATCTGAGCAACATTGCCAATTAGCCGCATTAATATAGAATTCAACTGATGTGTGCACACAGATGTGTGTGTATTGGCTTTATACAGCAAATGTGGCTCATCCATCATATTTATAATGTAAAAGCCTACTGTTTTAAGTCTTTTGTTTTTAACTCAAGTGTTACATAATGGGAAGCTGTTTTTGCAGTGATGCCAGACTTATGTTTTATGAACAATCCAATAATTTGGTTCACGTCGTTAAAGTTCCGAAATAAATAAATTAAAATAATATAAACAAAAGTTAAAAGTAAAATTATAAATTCATTGCGTTGTCATGTGCGTATATATAGGATAGGACAGACATTAGCACTGTAAGATAAAAACTTCATTCCTGTATGTATCTATACCATCTGGGAAGGACTGCTACTATGCATAGCCAAACATGACTATTGTTTACTTATCATTTTAAGTTTTAAGAGATATACTTCAGGATTTGCTGCCATATTCACTTGGTCATCAGCTCCATTTTTCAGTCATTAACCTAGAGAATGAGAAGAAATAGTGTGGACTCATTTTAAATTCAGAGACATGTAGCACTGAAATCAAGCTGAGTAAATCCATGTTGCACGATTCCAATTTCAGTTACCCGACTGAGTTCTAATTTACTAAAAGCACATTTTATTTCCCAACAAGTCAATTTTAATCAGAGCCGATATTACCTGTGGAGTGCAACAACATTAGCTAAAACACCAGTTTACCTTGGCAAACAGTGAGGCTAATGAGCCATATTTACATTGGATGCTTTGCAAAAGTACTCAAATTGTCAAGCAATTCATTTGTCCAATAAAATTAAAACACTAAAAGATGTTTCGCATGAGTTTACGCAAAACATTTGCTTTAATGATGAGACATTTGCCTTGCAATTGGCCTCTACCTGTGAATCATTAAAATAACAAGCACATTTACTGAATCCCCACAGTCATGGGTTCATTATGCTGCTTGTGGATCTGTTGTGAAGGACAGTTGTGAAAATGAAGAGTAAAGATAGGTAAGAACTAAACTAACCCAGAGTTCAGTTGCATTTTTTCCTGTCATTTAAAATTGTTGCTTGTCAGGTTGTAGGATACTGTATGACTGCAGTGGGACTGTGTCAAGCCAAGTCAGACTGTGCGACTGTCTGTCATGTCAGGATATATTAGACACATTGTAATCTGCTGGGCTGCTCATTCTTCACAGTAGAATGAACATCATTCTCATAGTATGATTATTATGATGGTTTGAGTATGAGTGGTGTTTCTGAGATAAAAAATAGTGGCTGAATTTACCAATTTTTTTTGCCATTTGCAAGACTCAGAACTGTATATTGAATTGTTTTATTTAGCATTTAAAAGTTAGGGGTCAGTACTTTTTTTTATGAAACTGCGACTTTTATTCAGCAAGGACACATGATCAAAATTGACAGAAATCTTTTGTAAAATTATGTCTTCACTATTTCAAGTAGATGTTCTTTTGAAAGTTCTAAGAATCTTGAAAAAAAAGCATCATAATTACCACAAAAAAATTAAGCAGCACAACATTTTCCAATATTGATAGTTATAAGAAATGTTTCTTGAGCAGAAAATCAGCGTATTAGAATGATTTTGTAAGGATCGTTTGACACTGAAGACTGGGGTAATGATGCTGAAAATTCATTTTAATTTGTAAAAGCCCTAATAATTCTCAGTATTACTATTTTTATTGTATTTTTAATTAAATAAATGCAGCCTTTGGTGCGCATAATAGACTTATTTCAATAGTTTTAAAAAAAGATTCTGTAAAATATTTGGTACATGCATCTGTATATTATATATGGATTGCCGTAGGCTATATGTCTCCACAGGCTTCTTTAACTTTTATGTTGATTCTAAAATTTGAATGAACCTGTACTCACAAAAAAAAAAACTTTTTTGCTTGAAGTTAGCAAAAAAGATAGAAGCAACTTTATAGGCCATTGGGTAATTTTCTGCCTCTCTTTATAACATCAAATAAACAAGACTGAGTGGTCTCTTAAACCCAATATTGATATGGTTATGATGATATTTTGCAGGGATCACAACAAAGTCTACCGTGAAGGCACATTCACAAGACTGTACAGATGACTGGTTTATAGCTCAGAGGAAACAAGTGGCCTCACGAGTCTCTGTGACAAAATCGCTGTAAAGCTAAATGTACAAACAAACAAATACACTTTGTGCTTTTTAAAAACCAAAGTAGATGGTTTCTGTATTTGCTTTTGGCTCTAAGCGATGTATAGAAACTGAGGAATGGATGAGGGTATGACAGCAGTGCTCCTGCAACTCTTCTGAGCTGCCAATAAATGCCGGCACCAGGGAGGGAGGCTAAACTACAAGCAGGTGTTTCATATTCTGCGGCTTTCTGACAATCCTCCTTTTTTTAGAGCCAACAGTAAAGCATCATCCTCTCTAAAATCTCAAGCGCTGCAACCTGCCAGACTCACAAAAAGAACAAAGGGAACATATGACATTTGTTATAAAAGCAGGATTTAGTCTTAAATCCTGAGCCTCGATGCTCCACACTGAGCCTTGAAAACAACTGTTAGTGTAGAATTCAAGCTGTGCCCTGCAGACCTGTGTTTTATGGTCTCAGCATATTTAAAGAAATATGACCCTATTTATTTTCTTAATGCATTTTACTGGTGTTATTGTTCAATATTTTTTGCATGTATTTATTTTCTTATAATAAGACATTCTGTAAGACGTATAATAAGACACTAATAGGGCCCTATTTTAACGATCTAAGCGCAGGGCGCAAATGCACTTAGGGTGTGTCCGAATCCACTTTTGCTAGTTTAACGACGGGAAAAATGCTCCGCACACCAGGGGCGTTGTCTGAAAGGGTTGTCCCTATTCTCTTAATGAGTAATGGGTGTGTTTTGGGCTTTAATTGCAAAAAAAAAAACAATCAGAGTCTCATCTCCCATTCCCTTTAAATGCCAGTTTCCCTCGCTCCATGGCGGATTGCTATTTACATGACGGAATTTGATAGCGGAAGACTGAAGCAAACGGATCTGCTCGTGCGCGAGGTTAAAGCGCGCAATCAGACCATCTACGGGACAAGCCGAATTCCACCATATCTTTATGTACACAATAATAATACTAACTAACGTGCTCTTTAAAAAACTAAAAAATATTTTTGTTCCATTGACTTTAGACCAGGTTTTTGTTGGTCAATGGCGCACAGTCTATTTCAGTTGCGTCAAAATAGCAACGCGCCAACAATGCGCCTGGACACACCTTGTTTTCAGACCAGCACGCCCATGTGCGCACAAATGCATTTGCCAGTTAAACAACGTGACGCAGGACGTGAAAATGATAACCGCGTCGGGCTGAAACTAGCAAAAAAACTTGCGTCGCGCCTGGAGCCGCATTGCGCGGGTGTATGATAGGGCCCATGGTGTGGTTCAATTTGTTGACATTAGTTAACTAGATTAGTTTCCATGAACTAACGATGAAAAATACAACTACAGCATTTCGTAATCTTAGTTCATGTTAATTCAGCCTGATCTGATGAAAATGCATCTCTAAAGACAAAAATGTGTTTTTACGTGCATTTGATACGCAGTTTTCGCGTGCATTTGATACGCACTTTATTGCGTGTAATACACACGCACCCCACACCACTACTAAACCTACCCTAAACCTACCCATGCGTATCCTATGCACGTAAAAACAAATGTCCGCGTATAAATTGCACGATAAACACAATGCGTGCTATAGAGACGCATTTAGTGTGACCACATTATTAAATTCAAAAGTGGTCTGTTAATCTGTTAATATTATTTAATGGACCTGAATTAATATGAACTATAATGAACAGTTGTATTTTTTTAAAACTTCACAAATTCTTAAATATTCTCAAACCATGTTTGCACATTTAATTTCATTTGCATCTACAGTATTTTCACAGGTAACATTACAGATACCATTTGTTTTTTTCTTTTAACTTTTTTAATGAATTCTTTTTGGGAACGACCCAACAATATGGCATTGATTATTGCTCTCTCTTTGAAGCGCCCTGTAAAGGCATTATTTATGCCATTTGGAATGCACTGTTTATGTGTTTCTGAGCAATATGAAGAACAGGGAG